AAACGTGAACCACCCTAATGGAACATCTTCGCCGGTTAGAAACATTTAGGCTAGCCTGCCTACGATCCATCCTGGGTTTAACCAGGCTGGATTGTTTGAGCTCACCAATCTTTGAAAGATCTGGGCAAGGTCCCATCAGTGAGCTCCTCTGGCAGGCAAGGCTGCGTTGGCTGCGTCATGTAGCCCGCATGCCCAGCCACCGCATGCCGAAACAGCTTTTGTTCGGCCGGATCGAGGGGGTTAAACGGGCGCAGCACGGGCTAGAGAAGAGATGGAGTGATGTGGTACAGGAGGACATGGAGCTGAGTGGACTTGCCGATGACTGGTACCAGCGGTGTCAAGATCGGCCTCTGTGGAGGAGGCTCGTGAAGGACAATACTGGGCAGTTGGAGGTAGTCACCCTCCAACAACAACGGAGGGCGGAAGGAGCGACGCTCACAACAACGAGCGGAGCGCCGGGTGGCTAAAGCACAGCAGGTTGGCACAGTAGAGGGCACAGGTGGTGCATCAGCCAGTCATCTTAGTCAATCGACCCGTGGCACTTGGGTCTGCCCCGTGACCTCCTGCCCGCGGGCATTCGACACTTCATGTGGTCTCAAGGTGCACATGGCCTGGCACAAGCGTCGTAGTGACGTCACCGCCACTTAGTGGCGAATGGCGGTTGTTGTTGTGTGCATCGATATGTGTGTGTGTAGGTCGATGTGTGTGTGAGTCGTGTAAGTCGATGTGTGTGCGTGGGTACATGTGTGTGTAAGTCCATGTGTGTGTGTCTTAGTCGATGTGTGTGTAAGTCCATGTGTGTGTGTAGGTCGTGTGTGTAAGTCGATGTGTATGTGCAAGTCTATATGTGTGTGCGTGAGTCGATGTGTGTGTGTAACTCCATGTGTGTGTGTCGAAAGTCGATATCTGTGTGTATGAGTCCACATGTGCGTGTGTTTGTATGTGTGTGGGTCGATGTCTGTGTATGTGTAAGTCGATGTGTGTATGTCTTTTTCGCTCGGGCAACGCCGGGTACTTCCCGCTAGTTGGCCTATAAAATTATCATCACTGTGCACCCTTATAGTGACAATAAAGTGGTATTTTAATTGTCGCCGTCGCTATAGCTATTGAATTAATTGTTGAACTTTCACAGAATCCCTAATCACTGGCAGGCCTCTGCCGCTGTCTGTGACTGTGCGATGCTCTCTCTATATAGGGTGCTGTAATACAATGAAAGCAGACGTGAATTTTCATTTGGATTTTTTAAATTCCGTGGGAAAATCAATGAGCAGAATCAATAACATTTAATAAATGCATGTGATTCTTTTGTGGATCAAGATGGTAACGTCATGGTCAAGTGGCATGCCCCCTCGTTTCCCTTTCTTTGATTGGCTAAGTGCCGCACATATTTCAGTCCGCATTTATTGTATTACAGTGCTCAATCCCATTAACAGAGGAATTGAGCTGTGGTGTTGTGACATGGAGGGTGTTTCTGATCGCTATTGCAGGTACGGGAGGTTCCTTTTGTTGCATTAGATTGCCATTTTCCGCGTGGCGCGCGGCTCGTAGTGAGTTATGTAATTTGTATTGTTAATTTTTATTTTTATCAATCCATCTCGAATCAGTAGATATAACGGAGTTAGAAGATGATTAGAGTGTTTTTTTGATGAAATTAGAAGTTATTTTCATAAAAGTTAATAACGTTTGGTATTGTATTGCGATGTTTGTAGTGTCCTTCCTCTCGGCGTGTGTGTGCGTATGGTGTGCGGCGCACACGCTCAGTCGGAGATGAGGTAGTTGCAGGAGGCACCTCCTCTCTCACGACCACGCTGCGTTACAGCCCGGCCCAGACACGACCCTGTCCGCGTTGCACCGACGGCGTCTACCGAGACAGCCAACTACTGCTCGGCCGCAGAATGATCGGGTGAAGGCGGCAGCGATGAAGGCAGCAGCGACGACAGCGACGATGAGATGAGTCCACTCCCTGAACCGGCAGCCCGGAGCTCTCGCTCTCCGCTGCTTTTATTCCCCATCGGCGCGGCTTGGCTCCGTCCGAGCCGCGTTTCCCCTCTTAAACCCTCCAGAGGGTTCCAGGGGCCTCCCTATGAGGTGTACCATGACCTATGCCCCAGTTTCTCCGCCCTGCAGGCACACACACACACACCGTATATATGCTCAACGGCGTGTGTGCTGTCCACCGCAGTTGCTGCTGCTGGACAGCAGTCGGCGCTGTGCCACATGTTCATTGGGAAGGCACACAATGGCTGACTTAGCTTAATTTTAACATTGAGCTAATGAGGTGAGCAGGTCAGGTACTTTTTGAGGAGGCTACGTTCCCGATTCTGGTATAAGAAAGAATAATTGTTTTTATATGTTTAGTGTTAGTAAAATATTTCTCTAATTTACATATTGTTTGTAAAATTAGATATAAAAAAGTATTATATAAGTACGCGTTGTCTCGTTTATGCAGTATTATCAGGGTCTGTAGGAGGTGCTACATATGTATTGGGCAGATGTTAGATATTAAAATGTTTCTTGTTAAATATGTATGTTAATGTTGTTAAACATGATAAGCGGCTCTTATCATAATTGAGATTTGGGATAACTTCTGGACCGAGCAATTCAGCTGCGGTGTTGTGATGTGAAGGGTGCCTCTGATCACTATTGCAGATACGCAATTGTCCTTCTGAAGAGGACTTTTGAAATAAAGTGTTGCCGCTTTACAAACCCCTGGTGCTCGGCTGTTGTCGACAATGCAGAGCCACTATTCATTGTCTCAGAACTTTATTATTTATCGTTGTTATTGTCTACTTAGCCAACCTGTCCCCCCTCGCAAGCATTCGCGACAGGAGGAGAGAGGACCGGGTGGATTGGCTACATATTCATTATACTCATCCTGGGATTGATTAAGATAATATTGATAGTAGCACTTGGCCAACTCTGGAATAAGAACTCGTGATCTCACGATTGGGAGCTATGCTTCTCTATAAAATGAGTTATATTTCCCACTGAGAGAATGTATATAATGTATACATTACATGTTGCATGCACGTCATCAGTAACCACACCAATAATTTTCATCGTCGTCAGCCTTTGTTTATTCACCGTCAAATAATGGCCTCATTCTGTCATCATCCCTCGTGGTTTTCTGATGACACAAACCATCTCACTCCTGCCACATTAACTGAACTCGTCTGCCACTCTTGGCAGTGTTAATCATGAGGGTTGTTTGACCATACTTCACTATGCCGGTCAGTGCTGGTTACTGAGTGACCTGACTGGTATGGGTGCCCAAGTCCTGTCTTCGAGCTCCTTCATAACGATAACACGATAATAACTTATATAAATAGCATTTACACGTTTATGTTGAAACATAATTTGGGGAAGGGGTTTCTTGGAAAAGGAGATGTGGAGGGGTGGTTCTCATACGTTCGTACCATAGAGATTTAATTAAATATTTTGCCAAGTGCATGAACAATTGACTCTTGACAAATTCACACTGAACACAGCACAACGTCCCATAGGGTGCCACTTAGACAATTAACTAGAGGTGAGTATATACAGTATATAGGCCTGTACACACTGTCATATATATGACTGTATCATTATGTTTACTCGTATTTGAGCCGGTCCTGGGTAGTATACATTCAAATGAGCAGCTGCCTGGCTGTGGTGGGTGTGCACGTGGCCTGTGATCAGGTACTATGGAGGAAGTGAGGGTTGGTGGATCACAACAGTTGTGAAACTCCCATCCCATGGGCGTCTAGGATCCATACCCTGGCTTGCCCGGAGAATGTAGTCCAGCAAAATGTTAACCTTCGCCTGTTCCCTTTATGGGATAGTGTTGCCCCCTCACGCACGTGAGCTTCTTCAGGTGCTCGGTTTCCTCTCACATGTAAACGCCTCATTATTTGGCCAATAACACCTTGAGTCATTGTGTGTCCAGGAGCTGGATGAATAGCCTGAAGCTGTGCGAAAGATATGGCCATAACTGTGTTGGAGTGCACGCTTTCAAACTTGCAGGCATCATTGCCAAGTACGTGTGCTAGATATGTGACATTTTGAAGAAAATCCGAGGTCACATCATCTGAGCAAAGGTCAAGTACAAATATTGTAAACATTTGCACTCAATTTGTCTCAGTCCTTTCAACATGAAAAACACAGATCTGTTCAAGAAGTATAAATTACACCATCTCCCCTTTCTACGTCAACCATGAGAGGAGTTACGATTCCTGGAAAGTCGAACTTCAATTATCTATATAGGTGGGGGGAATGGGAGATTAGATTCACCTATACTCTGTGGTTCTTTCGGTAAAGTCTTGATTTGAAGCTTTCGTGACTGCAAGAATCCATACTCTGGTTCTTTCGGTAAAGTCACGTAGGTAGAAAAATAAAATAAAACAAAAATAATTTTATAAAAGAAAAATAATTTTATTTTTCTACCTACGTGACTTTACCGAAAGAACCAGAGTATGGATTCTCGCAGTCACGAAAGCTTCAAATCAAGATAGATTAACCTAATACTACATTTGAACGCATTGGCGGTACACGGTATACAAAAAAGCACTTTGTCCGCAATTTTTTTTTATTTTCTTCCGACAATTCACAAACACCGGTCAGAAAAAAATATTCCGGTGTGTCAACAACGGTTCTCGTGATGTCGAAGCAGTTGAAATACGAACGTTGTTGAGCAGCTGAACACGAAGCTTCACTGTCGCCGTTTCGCAACCCAAGCCAGTTCACGGTTGACTCGTCTTGACTCGGGCACTCGACAGATTTGACACGCAGCCCGAGACTTGGTCGCGCCGTTAGCGTTTACGTTTAGAGAAATACGAGCAACCGACCTTTCATGAAAAAAATACTGCCTACATTTGGAAAATAATAGACCTTGTCCTTAAATAGCATTCGCTCGTTCCCGAGAGACTTCTATTTGGACCTAATTTATTGTTTCCATCGCAATAACCCCAACCCTAACGATGTCAGCGCTCTACCTTGGCCTTAAAAATATACAATGTGTATAACAGGCTTTCTTTAAGGGACCGCGGCGTTGTTGACGACTGTCTTCAGATTGACGAGTCGAATTGCCCGCGACGGTGAACGCGCTGTAAATCGCCGCGGTCCCTGCGCTGCCCCCCGGCAAACTCGACTGGTTGCGCGGCCTCCCGCAGGCCTCTCGCAGGAGACCTCGCAGGTATAGCGCGGCGTCGTGGGGGGTTCTAGCGCGGCGTCGTGGGGGGTTCTAGCGCGGCGTCCATGGGGGGTTCTAGCGCGGCGTCGTGGGGGGGGGGGTTCTAGCGCGGCGTCGTGGGGGGGGGGGGGTTCTAGCGCGGCGTCGTGGGGGGCTCTAGCGCGGCGTCGTGGGGGGTTCTAGCGCGGCGTCGTGGGGGGTTCTAGCGCGGCGTCGTGGGGGGGTTCTAGCGCGGCGTCGTGGGGGGGTTCTAGCGCGGCGTCGTGGGGGGTTCTAGCGCGGCGTCGTGGGGGGCTCTAGCGCGGCGTCGTGGGGGGCTCTAGCGCGGCGTCGTGGGGGGTTCTAGCGCGGCGTCGTGGGGGGCTCTAGCGCGGCGTCGTGGGGGGCTCTAGCGCGGCGTCGTGGGGGGTTCTAGCGCGGCGTCGTGGGGGGTTCTAGCGCGGCCTCGTGGGAGGTTCTAGCGCGGTGGACAGCTTTTAGCGATTTCAACATTTAAGCAACGCTCTCTCAGAACGTTCTCACGGTGTTCCGCCACCCGACGGTTACATAGCGTACTCTTTAACAGTTTTCTAGCGTTAGCGTGTGCTCTACAATCGTTCTAGCCCTACCGCTGTTCAAGTGCTCAGTGCTGCAATTGGGGTTTTGCACTGTTCAAGCTCTCAGTGATTTAACTGGATTCTAGCGCTCACTCTTCAAGCGCTCAGTGCTGTAACTGGGTTCTAGCGCTCACTCTTCAAGCGCTCAGTCCTGTAATTTGATTCTAGCGCTCACTCTTCAATCGCTCAGTGCTGTAACTGGGTTCTAGTGCTCACTCTTCAAGCGCTCAGTGCTGTAATTTGATTCTAGCGCTCACTCTTCAAGCGCTCAGTGCTGTAACTGGGTTCTAGTGCTCACTCTTCAAGCGCTCAGTGCTGTAATTTGATTCTAGCGCTCACTCTTCAAGCGCTCAGTGCTGTAACTAGGTTCTAGTGCTCACTCTTCAAGCGCTCAGTGCTGTAACTGGGTTCTAGCGCTCACTCTTCAATCGCTCAGTGCTTTAACTGGGTTCTAGTGCTCACTCTTCAAGCGCTCAGTGCTGTAACTGGGTTCTAGTGCTCACTCTTCAAGCGCTCAGTGCTGTAACTGGGTTCTAGTGCTCACTCTTCAAGCGCTCAGTGCTGTAACTGGGTTCTAGTGCTCACTCTTCAAGCGCTCAGTCCTGTAATTTGATTCTAGCGCTCAGCTGGCCGACTCAGATGGCCGACGCAGATGGCTTGGTTTGTCCAGTAAGCACGCGCTGGGCCGGCTTCACTGCCGCAGCTGCGTGGACCTCACCGACACCGTGGCACTGACAACCGTGGCCTTGTGGCAGTGACACCGTGGCCTTGTAGCAGTGACACCGTGGCCTTGTGGCACCGACACCGTGGCGTTGTGGCAGTGACACCGTGGCCTTGTGGCAGTGACACCGTGGCCTTGTGGCACCGACACCGTGGCGTTGTGGCAGTGACACCGTTGCCTTGTGGCAGTGACACCGTGGCAGTGACACCGTGGCCTTGTGGCAGTGGCACCGTGGCCTTGTGGTAGTGACACCGTGGCCTTGTAGTGACACCGTGGCCTTGTGGCACCGACACCGTGGCCTTGTGGCAGTGACACCGTGGCCTTGTGGCAGTGACACCGTGGCCTTGTGGCACCGTGGCCTTGTAGTGACACCGTGGCCTTGTGGCAGTGACACCGTGGCCTTGTGGCAGTGACACCGTGGCCTTGTGGCAGTGACACCGTGGCAGTGACACCGTGGCCTTGTGGCAGTGACACCATGGCAGTGACACCGTGGCCTTGTGGCAGTGACACCGTGGCAGTGACACCGTGGCCTTGTGGCAGTGACACTGTGGCCTTGTAGCAGTGACACCGTGGCCTTGTAGCAGTGACACCATGGCAGTGACACCGTGGCCTTGTGGCAGTGACACCGTGGCCTTGTGGTAGTGACACCGTGACAGTGACACCGTGACAGTGACACCGTGGCCTTGTGGCAGTGACACCGTGACAGTGACACCGTGGCCTTGTGGCAGTGACACCGTGGCAGTGACACTGGCCTTGTAGCAGTGACACCGTGGCCTTGTGGCAGTGACACCGTGGCAGTGACACCGTGGCCTTGTAGCACCGTGGCCTTGTGGCAGTGACACCGTGGCCTTGTAGCAGTGACACCGTGGCCCTTGTAGTGACACCGTGGCCTTGTGGCAGTGACACCGTGGCCTTGTGGTAGTGACACCGTGGCCTTGTGGCAGTGACACCGTGGCCTTGTGGTAGTGACACCGTGGCCTTGTGGTAGTGACACCGTGGCCTTGTGGCACCGACAACCGTGGCCTTGTGGCAAGGCGAATAGTTAGGAGACAAGAATGAGTTTAATTTTCAAGGGTTACATGCGTTAACAGAATTACAAAGCTATAGCATGAAAACTGAGAACATCAATGAAGCAAAATAAATCGACACAAAAAAACAACGAAATACAAATTAGAGTAAAAAAAGGCGTTACTTGATAATTCAAAAGTAGTGTGCATACATAATTAATGCTAAAGAATGTACATTTGGAGTAACATAAACTTGATTGTACAACACACTTTAAAAAAAACATGAATAGTAAAGTTAAGGCTAAGGAAACATCAAAATACATTTTGGGTGATTATTCAATCAACTTTTTCAAATTTCCCGCTCTTCCACGATCTGCTCTCTGCACCAATCCGATCTGTGTCATCCACTCACCCATCGGATTGCGTGTCTTGCATGTCAGTGCTCACACCGCCAATCCTCTATTCCCTGCCCGAGCGTGCTGTGTGTGCATGACGCGAGTGGCCCCTTGACCTCCAACCCTTCTCTGGTGCATCCCCCCCGTGTGCGTGATTGATGTGTGTGGCGTGCGTGATGTCGAGTGCAGATGGTATGCATGTTGTTTGTGTGGTGCGGCTGTGTGAACATGGGTGGGTTATCCTCGACACGTCCATGGTGATTAACTGTGAGCAGCCAATAACAAGTATTGCGATTTCTTGCACCCACCAAAACGGCAGGATGTGTGCAAGTATGGTGTACATACACAACGTGCATGCATAATATATATGTGCATCGCGCATACATGTTGTGCATGCACATTATGTATGTTGATTACCCTATGACTAACCTAACCAGAAATGGATATCCAGTGTAATTTTTATTCATACATTAACCCTCCTCCCTCTGGTCTTCGCACCTGATTTTCTCACAAGTGACAACATCACATTTATAAAGTATTAAAGCTTTCGTGACTGCATAAAATTACTCATTGTTTTTTTTCGGTAAAGTCACGTATGTAGAAATACAATAAAATTATATTAAAACAAAAAACAATCACGACGTTTCGATCACAACGCAAGCGATCTTCATCAGGTGTCAAGAACAAATCACGGAGGTAAATACAACAAAAAGATGAGAGACGAGAATTCAACAAACCTGAAAAAACATTACGTGAAGCACATCCAGTCAGGCCAACAACACAGTTAGACACTTCCTGGCGGACCACGAATTTCAGAAGAGTGTTAAATTTCGTGTTCAACCTTTGGATTGCACATACCAGCATAGATAGAATGAAAAATACGAGGTACACGGTCAGTAGAAATACATATACAAGTCCACCAAGAGGTAAGGAGGGAGGAAAGACGGACAGGGAGGCAGAGAGAGAGGGGGGGCGGAGGGATGAACAGAAGCTTAAATAGGAAATACGGTTGGAGGGGGGGAGGGGCCAGAGCGAGAGTGGCAGCTCAAAAACGCACATCTTACAAATACAAAACGGCAGCTCAATAAAGGACCACCTCTTGTAAATACAAAACGGCAGTTCAAAATATGACCACCTCTTGTAAATACAAAACGGCAGCTCAAAAAGGGCACATCTTACACATAATTACAAAGGTAACTTCCCCGTAGAAGTGTGATAATAAAGTATTAAATCAGTTTAACACATAGGCTTTCGCGACCAATATTCATAATAAAGGTTTTTGGGTAGATCGCGTTATTTATAAATGCGTCGTCACCTTCCACCACCCGACACGGCCAATCAGCAAAATAAGTGTCACGTTGACAAAAAACAAATAATTCACTACTTTAGCCCACTGGTGTGTTGAGTGAATCCACAACATTTACAGTTTGTGTACGACGTTTCGCTAATAATTACATCCAGCGTTATCGGGCAATTCGCCAGAATGGCAAAGCCGTAGCTTGCTCCCGGTCTTAAATAGAGCAGCATGATGACGTCATCATTTTACTCATTTCAGGTGCAGTGATTTGAGGTGGAGGGGGGTTATTGTAATTATGTAATCGATTAGTAATCAGTCAATGGTTATGATTAGTAATGAGTTGTAGATTAGTAATTAGTTGTAATGTGTGTTAGTGATTATATGCTATGTTAGTAATCCGTTAATTAGTATGTGTTTCCCCTATAAGGAATTGTAATATGTAATTTTTTATAATACGCTTCCAGGCCGCACTAAGCCTGTAGCTGTCAGAGCGATTAAAGTAATTTTTATTCCTCTCAATTTCAATGGATTATCTAATTAGTCTTTGCCAGTAATAATTAGTTTTACACAACACTTCAACGTTATCAAAATCAATTGAGTGTCCTTGTTGACAAGCATGTTCTGCCACTGCCGACAGTTGTGTTTGAGATAATTTTATATTTCTTTGATGTTCTTTTAGTCTTATGCTGATGTTACGTCCCGTCTGTCCAATATAGCATCTGCCACATAAACAATTAATCCGATATACACCTTCTGTTGATAATTTAGGTAATTCGTCTTTAGTGCAAGATACTAGTTTTTGAATTTTGTGTACTGTACCAAATCTTACTGTAATGTTTTGCTTTTGCAAATCACGGGCTAATTTGTCAGTTACTCCTGAGATATATGGAATTTTTATGTTTTAACAATCTGATCGCTTTCAGCAGTATTGCTTTGCGATCGTGATTTGGCATTCAGTGCTCTGTTAATTTGAGCATTATTGTAGCCATTCTGTCGTAGTGCGTCTTTAACATGTTTAATCTCTCTCATTAGACTTTCACCATCTGACACTGTTTTAGCCCGATGTATGAGCGTCTTGATAAGAGAGGATTTCTGAGCTGGATGATGATGCAAATCTGCATTCAGATAGGCATCAGTGTGCATTTGCTTTCTGTAAACGCTGTGGTATTTTACCGTTTAGGCCATGCCCAAGCAAAATATCTAGGAATGGGAGTGTGTTATTCACCTCCATTTCCATGGTGAACTGGATGGCCGGGTTTTGTGCATTGAGATGATTTAGAAAATCATTAAGTGTATCTTTACCATGTGGCCAGACAACCAAAGTGTCATCCACATATCTAAACCAAAAGATGGTTTTAATGTGCTCGAGGCAAGTGCTCTTATTTCAAAGTTTTCCATGTACAAATTTGCTATAGCAGGGGATATAGGAGAGCCCATTGCTGCTCCTTCCTTTTGTTTAAAGAAATCCCCTCTCCATAAGAAGTAAGTGTTATTTAAACAATGTCTCTCATCTTTTTGTTGTATTTACCTCCGTGATTTGTTCTTGACACCTGATGAAGATCGCTTGCGTTGTGATCGAAACGTCGTGATTGTTTTTTGTTTTAATATAATTTTATTGTATTTCTACATACGTGACTTTACCGAAAAAAAAACAATGAGTAACATCACATTTATCCCTCTATTTAAAACCAAAATAGGAGGATTTTTCCACAACTGGCTGTCGCCTGATGATGCTGGTTGTAATTGCCAGTGAAACATCAAACTCGAATTGTTGTGGTTTTACTCCTCAACACACCGGTGTGCCGTGATGGTTTGGATCTGAGGATCCAACCAAAACCATCAATTTACCGTACATAGCAGGGGTACCAAAAAGATTTCCAAAATCTTAAACAAAAAATCCATTATTTAATCCCATCTGTAAAGATGTGATTCCTGACATGCAATACCCTGGTGTCTACAAACTGAGCTGTGGTTGCGGCAGCAGTTACATTGGGGAAACGAAACGACATGTCTCGGACCGCGTCCGTGAACACAAGGGAGATCTGAAACACGGTAGGACCAATACTTCTGCTGTTTTGCCGATCATTGTTTTTAACGCTGTGGCTCACACGGCGGAGGTACTCTGCAAACCTACCGGCTACCTTCAGAGATTTGTTCATGAAGCCATCCAGATATATAAACACAGACACAACTTCAACCGAGAGGATGGGTACAAACTGAGCAATCATTGGAAGGATGTTATTAACCAGGTAAAGTCTTAACTGACTGTAATGTTTCCATCCAACCTGCCCATGTCAGCTGTTATTTCGACTCTCTGTGTCTCTCTCTCTATGTCTCTCTCTCTTAGATCTCTCATGCTCACATGTCCGTTGCATTGCACTCTCATGCCTTTGGATTGCACTCTCATGCTCACATGTCTTTTGGATTACACTCTCATACTCACAGGCCCTTTGGATTATACCCGTTGGGTTGCACTCCCACGTCGAGAAGGCCGCTCTTCTCCTTCTTTTGCTACAGTTTACATGCTAATTTCTCACATTAACATCATGCTAATCCCTCACATTAACATAGCCACTTCTGTGCCCTCATCGAGGAGGCCGCTGCCCTATCTTACAGTTAATTTCTCACATTAACATCACTAGCCCCGGCCACTTCTTTATGACCCTTGAGCTACACCCATTTCAAACCTTTTAAAACAGTCTGCCTCAGCAGCAGACCATGCTTTACCACCTCATGATGGACGCTTGTGTTGTGCCCGAAACGTCGTGATTTATTTTATACCTACGTGACCTTACCGAAAGAACCAAAAAGTATGGATTCCTGCAGTCATGAAAGCTTCAAATCAAGATAGTAACGAATTGGCATGCTTTGTTTACGTGCCCAACCTAATTGGCTGTGTCGGGTGGTGGCGGGTTTAACGACACATTTATATTTACGTAATCACACCCAAAAACGTCAATTATGGATTAATGATTTCGTGTAGAATGAAAAATTCTGATTTGAGAGCAGCAGCTAATCTGATGGCAACTGCGTGGTTCTGGGTAGGTGTCACAGGCTGTGTCTCGCCCGTGGAGGACATTATGAGCCGTGCAGCACCGAGGCCAAAGGATGCAATCCAGGCCCTGTGCCGGCTGCTCTCCAGCCTCGGGCTTGGCACGGTCAGCCCAGAAACAATTTCGGCAAGCCAAGTATGACCGACCAGAGAGTGTACGTCCCTCTCCTCCTCACTTTGTTTTACAATAACCATCACCTATTTTACAATGATAACTTGTTTTATAATAATCATTATCTCTTGGACAATTACCACCATATTCTTCGTTTTTTTCGGTAAAGTCACGTTAAAGAGAAACAACAAAATAATAAAATATATATAAAACAATAAAAAAATCTTATATATTTTATTATTTTGTTGTTTCTCTTTAACGTGACTTTACCGAAAAAACTAAGAATATGAATTACTGCAGTCACGAAAGCTTTAAATAAAAAATAACCACCATTTTCTAGTTTTGTTGTTGCAAAATAACACTCACCAGTTTTAACAATAATCATAATTCTCTGTTTTACAACAACAATCATAGTCTATTTTACAATAACCATCATGGCCATTTTTACAATAACCAGAGTCTGTTTTACAATAACTGTGGTGGTGGTGGATGTGTGACTTGCACGTGTCACTACTCGTGCTGGGAGCAGGTACCTGTATTCTGGTTTCTCCTGTCCCGGGTGCTTGTGTGCACCACGGGCGATGCTGCTGCTGCGGTGGTGGAGGAGAACAGGAATATGGAAATGACAGCGCTGGACCGGAAGACACCTGATGGTACGGGGACATGGGCATGGGGACATAGGAGACTTGAGAGACTTGGGTCATGTGGGGATGCAGAGAGTTTGGATTTGAAGCCAAGTTGAGAGCAGATGACAGACTGGAATGAGTGAAATTATGTATAAATTTACTTAATGGAACTAAAGACAATAATTTCCTGTTTTTTTTAAATATAGAAAAGCATCACATAGTCTTATGATGGGTTTCCTACATAAGGATGTGAGGCAAACACATTTTTTGTGAAAAAATAGACATGTAATTCCAGATAAATGTATCCCAATGGCATACATTTAAAAGGAATCCTTGGTGTGATGCAGAATGTCTATAATGCAACAAAATAAAAATTACTCCCTACAAAAGCACTATGCCGATGGATTCTAGAATCCATTGTACTCTCATCTTGCCGCATTGCAGCCCATACCAACTACACTTGGTATTCCCAGATGATATCTCCAATAGTAACCAAGTGTAACCCTGATTATATTTTTTAAGTGGATGAGGCCGGGTGCATTCATGGTGATCCTTCCGCGAAGCCAAAGGGCATTCGGGCAATGAGGCTCAGTAAAGTTAACACTCAAAGTATTTCTTGTTTAAAAAAAATCGTACAGGGAAATGTATGTCTGGAATGATATGTTAATACGATCTGGTCTGTCAGCAAAATAGACTGTAAGACCAACCTCTGATGGGGCCTCTAGGCAAGAGATTGGTGCCTGGCGTGGTTTCCCCTCTATGCATAGATGTCATCTCCAATGTGAAGGCTGGGCTGCTGCATCATGGTTACGTGGCCCCTGAGATCTTCCAGCTGGGGCGAGCCCAGCAGCTGGGTTCTCTGGAGCTGCTCCTCGCATTCTCATGGCTTCTTCACACCACCCACTTCCCGGTTCGCCTCCTGACCCAGGGTGCTCTGCAACTTGACGATGGTGCCATGAAATTGTTTCCTGTGAGTGCATGACATACCTTTATTGCTCATCATTAGATACATCCTCTCAGTGTGTATATGTCATACAAATAATTCATAATCATACGTTTCCTCATTGTTGTGTCATATTCAGGGTCTAGAGTTGGCAGCAAATATTGCCACTCAGCTATTACAGTAAATCACTAACAGGATAATTCGAAACATCTCCATAATAGAGGTTTTTGGGTTAAATCGCGTACATATATGTGTCGTTAAAACCCGCCACCACCCGACACAGCCGACTAGTAAAAGGGTTGTCACGTAAACAAATGCCAATTCGTCACTAGTGCCGCACACCGGTGTGTTGGAGAGCCAAGCCACAACATTTACAATCTGAGTACGACGTTTCGTCAGTAATTACAACTAGCTTTATCAGGCGACAGCCAGATTTGTGGAGAAGTCTAACTGTTTCTTGGTGTGGTTACATGTCGTTGCATAATGTACGTTGCCTCAGTAATCCCCCCCCCCCCACATTTTGCAAGAGCGCAGAAGCGTGGTCAACACATCTACGCCTCTATACAAGGGACGCAGTGTGAGGTTGAGCACAGTGTTGATGAGATTGTAAGAGTCTAATAGGACCGAGTTCTTAACTTTGGCGGAGGAATCAAGGATTGACGTCCACAGAAAAAACAGTAACCATGATAGTAGTTTGCGCTCCATCAACGTAGGAATAGCAAAATGGACAAACTCTCCCAAGTCCTGTCGTGGCCAGCAGACGTCGGCATTTAGCTGCTGAAAATATTGCCGAATGCAAGAATATGACCATACCGACTGCTGTCCAGTGAATTATCGAGCTTCCTTGACGTGTTCTGCTCTAACTAGAGTGGCGCTTTCTTGAGGCTCTGATTCTGGAATGCTTCCCACTGCCTCTCAAACAGGAGCTCGCAAACGGTGACCTGCCCGGTGAGGAGCGGGTGGCGCCTGCGTCCCGTTGATGGCGCCCCGTTGCCCAAGGATGGCGTGCACTATGCGCTGTGGCTCATGGGGAAGCTGCGCTTGCGAGTGCGGGCGCTGCACAGTGCGCGCCAGCAGCTCTGCACCCTGCTGCACCGTGTACACTCCACATGCAGGCAGCCACACCAACCTGGCAAACACCTCTCCGGCGCCGAGGCATACCTGCTGAGACACCCGAATAGACTGACGCAGGTGAGACCAGTCACGTGGACTCGCACGGGTTTACAAGCACGCAGATTTACACAGGTGTGGCCTGTCTTGCATGGATTCATACGGGCTCATACTGGCTCTCACAGATTTACACAGACTGACACAGGCCCACACAGTCTCACACAGGCTCACAGACTTGCACGAGTCCAGACTCATATGGGTATGGCCAAGCCTGGAACCAGGGCTTTGCAACCAGAGATCCATAACTAAGAATCTAACACAGGGAAATGAATCGCAGACACAGGACAATAAATGAGACGTAAAAACTTACCATTAAACTTTGTTTAAAGAAACAATTGTAAGTCATCACCTTTTCACCACCAACTCCCTGACCTTGCCTGGTTTCTGCTATGTGAAGGTGTAATCTCTATGGTCATTGAGGGAGGGAGTGGTTTATGGGACAGTGTCTCATTTCCCAGGTCCTGCAGCAGCTTGGAGAAGAAAATGCCAGACTGGAGGCCTTCATTGAGTGGAGGAATGTGGAGCCTGCTTTCTGGCAGTGGATGGTGAGCATGACACCAGCTGTAGTGACACATCAGGGCACAAGATGTTTTCTGAGTGAGCGCCTAGAAACCTTGTGTAGTAGTGTCCTGTGTGATCTGAGTTCTATTTCAATTATGGCTACCATCAGTGGTGATATCTGAACTGGTGCTGGTGTTCCCCTTCACCAACCCACACTAACCAGCATCGTGGAGTATGGCTAAACAATCCTCATGACTGAAACGGCATGGGGAGACCTTTTAATCAGCAGTGGATTGATAAGAGTCTCTAACATTTTTTTAGTAATATGCATTTGTGGACTTTTCGGCTAATGTAAACAACATGACAGACGAACCAGATTGATAAATTAACATAACAGATCATTTTAATGGAACACACATTACAAATTAAACATATATATGCATTAAAAGACTATAAAAGTCATCGTGGCCAAAGCTGTTGATGCCACCAGACTTCACACCAAAACTTTCTGCCCTTCGCCAGATCCGCAGCTGCTGCACAGTACACACATGACCTCGAAAATCTTCCCTAACAGTCGCCTATTATTGCGCCGTAGACTTACGTAGACTAACAGAGGCCCATAGACTTACACAAACAATTATAGGTCTGCCCTAACAGTCCTACCTACATACTTATTTCCACCATCTGCTCTTAGGTCTCCCCCTTGGTTACAGGACTTGTGGAGACCACTACCATGCCTGTCTCTGCGATCGGCCCACCCACTGTGCACACGTCCTATCTAGCACAACCATTTTTTTGTCTAATCACATCTAAGAAAGACAAGATGCAAGAATCAAATGTTGACCTTGAATGGCATAAGCCACTTCGTTGAGCTATAATTTGTGTCCAGGTAGCTTCTGAAAAAGAGTGAATGGTAAATAAAAAATAGTTTTATAAAAGAGTTGTACGGATTCACGGAATTTTGGAGAGTAGGAAAATGACCACGTACCATCTATAATGGTTGCTGTGCCGTGCTGGTTTCTAGGAGAGTGTTGTGGAAGTGAAGCTGATTCAGCTAGAGCATCGGGGTCGTTGCCCCAGCTCAGCTGTGCCGTGTCACCGGGGGACGGAGGGGGTGCGGGATATGGCCCTCGATTCTCGGCTCGGCTCGGTGAGCGAGAGTCTCGCGAGGATTGAAAGAGATGTACGCTGCGCGCTGTGGCCCAATCACGCTACGTGGCTCAGTGAGGTGCGGCACGACCCCACGGTACTGTCATGGTCTTGCATAACGGAGTTAGGGGTTAGTAGGGTCACCGCAATGTGACAATACGATACACCACATGATACAAGATCCACTATAATTTGCGTATCGTCCGTTGTACTGAATGTCGCATCGTGATGCGTGGGTCATTTTATTTTTTATACAATCTTATTTCTTGACAAAATATGAAATGATAATTAGATCCCTAAATAAATAGTTCCATTTAAACTCGTACTTGAAAAAAAATTCTTTTTTAAACGCAGTTTCTGAGCACATGCCAAAATGGCCAAATCATTAAGCGGATAGCAACAAACAGCACGATCCAAGTAGTAATAGCTAACAGTTAACACTTGTTTTTATCAGCATGGCAATTATGTAATGTTGCAATTCTTGTATTTTATACAAATAATTCACTATTGTTTAACTGAGAGTATGTGTTGTAGATTGTAAAGTTGCCGTGATTACAATAATTATGGCAGGCTTGTTGACTGAACAGCATTTAACTATAAGTAATTTTAATTTATACTGATAATCTTTATTCCCAAGTACTGCAAAACACAAAATCTATATTCTTAGTTTTTTTCGGTAAAGGTCACGTTGAAGAGAAACAACAAATAATAAAGATGACCGTTTGAGTTATGGTCGAAACGTCGTGAGAATTTTTTATTGTTTTATATATATTTTATTATTTTGTTGTTTCTCTTCAACGTGACTTTACCGAAAAAACTAAGAATATGAATTACTGCAGTCACGAAAGCTTTAAATCAAAACAAAATCTATAGTTCGCATGTGAAATACAGTTGCAGAGTTGAGAGAAACTGATACCCGATTATCGTCTTATCATGAAAATTTATATTGTAACTATTGTGAAAAATGACATTACGGGAATCCCAGGGATCTGTAAGGAATGTTCGGGATCTCGCACGACCATACATACATTACACCAGCGATGCATTTCCGATTTTGTGGATTAATAATGAAAATATGAAAATTAGAGCGACAAATTGTATATGGTTTGAGATGCAATTTTCAAGAAATGGCACTATATATTGTCATAAAAGCACACGTCAAATATAAACACACCTGGTCCTACTCCCAAGGAGTGCCATATCCATCTGTATATGTTCTTACATGGTATCACGCAATTTCCCATAATATCGTGCTGCCTGTTTACTCGCTCTGTTCCGATCTGCATCTGTTATTGGCATAACTACTTCACCCACAGGAGAGGCGACTGCTGCAGTGCGGTACTGCACCATCAGCCCGTGCGAGATCTCGCCGAGTCAGCACAGCAGGAGGCGAGCGCGGTGGTGCGAGCTCTGCAGGCTCCAGCCCAGCGGCTCACCGCCACCTTGCTGCTTCTGCACCTGCCCTTCCACCTACATCTGAAGCAGCAGAAGCAGCTGCAGAGACAGCACCGGGGCGGGCACCGGCAGGAGAGAGAAAGCGGCGCGATGGGGACGCCAGAGTTGGCGTTGTGGGAGGCGACGCGTGAGCTGGGCGGGCATCTCACCCGCCTGCGTGCCTCGCTGAGGCAGCAGCACAGGCGTTGGCGGGAGAGGCTGGAGGCCATGCTGGACGGCAAGGAGAACATCGTGTCACTCCCGCCGCCCCACTCACACCACCGGTAAGGTGGCTGGTACTGTGGTCGACGAGGAGATGGACTTGGACTCATTGTTTCTTCAAAGCCACGACGCCGGTGTAGTGGATTTCACTATTACGATGAAAAGGATGCGAAATTACACGGTTAAAATCCCACCTGAAAAGCTCCATTCGTGCCCTCCTATGCTGCATTGGGGGACAAAGTGATTGCCAGAATAAGTCGTCGTTTAGGATTCTAAGGGTTCAGTATTCCAAACTTTAGACCATTTAGTAAACTACTGTATAATACAGGTTTTTTTTGGGTTGGCGTAAATATTTAAATGTGTCGTTAAACCCGCCACCACCCAACACAGCCAACTAGTAAGGGTTGTCACGTAAACAGAACGTGGCCAATTCGTCACTAGTACAGCACACCGGTGTGTTGGAGAGCCAAGCCACAACATTTACAATCTTGAGTATGACGTTTCACCAGTAATTACAACTAGCTTCATCAGGCGACAGCCAGATTTGGCCTGGCTCTCCAACACACCGGTGTGCTGTACGTGTAACGAATTGGCACGTTCTGCTGACGTGACAAACCTTACTAGTTGGCTGTGTTGGGTGGTGGCGGGTTCAACGACACATTTGTATATTTACGCGATCTAACCCCAGACACCTGCATTATGGATGATATTGTTCAAGAAAGCCTACGTGTTAAACTAAACCACTTTAGTCTGCGGTCCTATGGAGGAATAGCAAAACTATTCCTTGGTGCCTTAATGCATCTTACCATTCAGGATCAGGAATTCAAGACGAATTTTGTCGTGTTTTAAAAGGTGTTTTTTTTTCCAGCCGAGCGCTGGAAAGACCGTGAGTGAATATGGGAGAATAAATAGGGGGGAGATGTACACCTCCATTTCTGCTGCACTGCTGTTTGGATGCTGCATGTGGACGTCGGCCCATGTGAAACAAAATCAGAACCACATACTAAAGGCCTCCAGTTAAATAGTAAAGGTGTGTAATGATTGATGCTTCCCCTTGCAATCCGATGAAGTGTCACGATCTGAGATCACTATTCAATTCAAGCACCAATATTGTTGTCTTTTGCACCACCACCTTAGTTAAATGTATTTTTCCTTTTAGTCTTACCACTCACGTGGGGTCTGCCTTCCCGGTCCTCCTTGACTGCTGTTTAGGGACGTCATCTCCACATCCTCTCTCGCCCCTTACAACCAAATAAAATGGAAAATAAAACATGTGTATATTTCTGACGCGTGTGATTCTATGCGAGTTTAAGAAAAATATTTTATTCGATTAATTTCCGTAGGTAAATTCCATGTTACCAGCATCGATCCACAAACCTTTGAATGTGGAAATCGATCCAATCAGATCGCACTACAGATTCTTGTATGAGAATCGATCCGATCCGTATGTCGCGATTCAGACGAGTAGAATCGATCTACGATCATTATTTAGTCGTGTTGGAATCCGTTCTTGACTGATTTGTGATGTGAGTTTCCTGTTCGCAAAACTTTTGCCTCTGCGCCAATTTTTCAATATATATAACCTGCAGAATTTCCCGTATCGCCGCAATGACGGCTTGTCACGACTCGCGCCGGGTTTCCTATGTCGAGACCGAGCGGCTAGGCCTAAGCCTATCGCAGACTTCGTAATGTACCGGTTATAATACAGAAAGGTGTATTTATTTTGAATACGTAATGTAAATAGGTAGTGATTGGACTTACGCTTTGATATATATATGACGTCCGTAGTGCGGATCAGCATAGTTTAGATAGGTACGTGGCGTAGTGTTTATATGCGATTAGAATTGCCCAGACAAGTATATGCATTTAGGATGTATAGTCTAAATAAGTGTATTTGACTTGAATATACATACGGATACTTAGCACTGCATAGATCACATGGTGAACATCGTCATGGTCAACCCGCTGCCGAGTGTTGTTGCTGGGTGAGAGTGGGGGTGGTGAGTTGAGTGGATGGGTGTGGGTGAGAGATTGTCTTTTTGTCCGTGTAAATTTGTACGTATAGGTTTCTATAGGTGTGCGTTTATTTGTTAAACGGATGATCCCATTTAGCACAGTGAAATGTAAACAATACAAAAAAAACAGCAATATTGCAGATAAGTACAGGGTCTGAGGGATGTTGCACAACTAACACGAGGTATTTAAGGGTCGTTAAGGAAACGCGCAAATCAAAACTGCAACTATCTTGGAGCAAGGGAAGCTAGAATAAGTAATATTTAAAACAAAAAAAATTAAACACGCTTTTTTTTTTATAAAATGTACTATTCATGGAAGAACTCCACGACTCCAGGAAGTGGCCCCGAAGCTTGCCATAACGTAAGGGACCGTGGCCAATTACAACAAACGATTAGACCTAAGCCGAACATAACGTATTAAAAAAAAGAATGTTTAAAAAAATATATTTTTTATGATAGAATATAGTATTGTCATCAGTCTGACATAAGTATACCAAGTTTGCAGTCGATACCACATTGGGAAGTGGGTTAAAATTGAGTTGCAAGATTTGAGGATACAACAACAACAACAGTGAGTTAAATTTCGATTTAAAGCTTTCGTGACTGCAATGATTCATCTTCTTTGGTTCTTTCGGTAAAGTCACGTAGAATGAGAATAAAATAATAAATTGATAAATAACAATAACACAATAAAATTCTCATGACGTTTTCGGCCACAACACAAGCGGCCTTTGTGGCCGAAACGTCGTGAGAATTTTATTGTGTTGTTTTATTTTATCAATTTATTATTTTATTCTCATTCTACGTGACTTTACCGAAAGAACCAAAGAAGATGAATCCTTGCAATCACGAAAGCTTTAAATCGAAACTCATGGCGAGAGTTAGAGGAACTATTACTGGTAGAAACCTCTGGTTACACCAGCCCACAGGGGAGATTATTGTGTCCGTCCGTCGTGCATGGGAGGGGTGGGGCTGGGTGGAGAGGGGAGGGTGGGGAGGGGCTGGGTGGGGAGGGGCTGGGTGGGGAGGGGCTGGTCACCCCGTGGTGCCCTTATAAATCTCAACGTTTAACCTACTCACGCCGGCTTGTGCCCGCCCTCACAGTCGGGCATATTTGCGGAATACACCAACGTTCCTACCAGCTCCCTCCGCAGGAATGTGTTAATTTAGGTGATTGGCAGATTTGTTTAAAGAGGACTTTAAGAATGAAGACAGACTAGTCATGGTGTCTCTGGATGTCCAGGGTGGACAGATTTGAATTAATGTACATGTTGCAATGATGAGTTCTAGATTCACATGCTAGGTGGTAGATGGTATCACAATTATCAAATATGGGCAGAATACATTGTGTGAGTGCAGTGTGTGTATCGTGTCTGTTAGTATACTGTGTGGGAGTAAACTGTGTGTTGTGTGTGATTGCATAGTTGGTGAGAGTGTAAATTCTTTGTTGTGTATGAATGTGCTGTGTACAGAAATACCTCGGTTTACGTCTGGGATGCATTCCTGAAATGTGCGATGAATATCGAAACAACATAAATGAATTTTTGATTTAAAGCTTTCGTGACTGCAGTAATTCATATTCTTAGTTTTTTCGGTAAAGTCACGTTGAAGAGAAACAACAAAATAATATAATATATATAAAACACACCTGAAGATGACCGTTTGAGTTATGGTCGAAACGTCGTGAGAATTTTTATTGTTTATATATATTATATTATTTTGTTGTTTCTCTTCAACGTGACTTTACCGAAAAAACTAAAAATATAACATAAATGAAAGTATATATATTCTTAGTTTTTCGGTAAAGTCACGTTGAAGAGACTTTACCGAAAAAACTAAGAATATGAATTACTGCAGTCACGAAAGCTTTAAATCAAATATAAATGAAAGTAATTTACAGGATAGGTGGAGGCGGAGGCTGTGGGACGAAGACGAGAAAGGACAGATGCTGTCAGCGACGTAAGTGTTGGTTGAGGCAATGCAAATGAGGTAATGGTATTAATAAATTGCCGACGTATTTTGCGAAATGGCGTAAAAGGGAGAAAATAAAAATTGGGGTATTCCTGTATTTGCAAAGTGCAGAACACACTGCCATTATATGTCGTGCCGATTCCCATTAGTGCGACATAATTGTAGCACTTGGCCTAAAAGCCGATGTGACTTATTTGGGGATATTTTGTGTTTGTGCACGTATGTTTACGTTGCTAATGTTTACGTGCGTCTGTATGAGTATACTTTGGAGAACAGTCGTGTATGTTGAACTGCTTTCACACCGTATGTAGCCAACCGTGTTAATCGGAGGTGCGGTGGAAGGACAACAAAAAGTGGAATGGATTGTGCGCTGCTTTATGAACCTGACCACTCATGTTCGGTTCCTGCTCATGACCAACTCTGACGAATATCTGAACTGATCCAGGGCCTCTCCTAGGTCGACTCAACCTTAAATGTGTAGCTGGTGCAGTGTGAAAACATCAGCACTGGGAGACAAAGGTAGCCGGGTGTGGTGCTGACCACCCACCCCCTTGTGTGCCATTCCGGCCTTCGTGGGTGCTTGCTAAAAAAAACTTGCCATAACAGTATCTTACAGGCTATTTGGAGGATTGTTGTATTTGTGTGCATACCCGTGCATGTCTTTGCCTTATGTTGATGGAGGTTGAGTGGATATTGCTGTTTTCTGTCTGCAGCTACCAGTGCCTCTGCTCTGCAGAATCAATAACATGGAGCAGAGACACCCGGCGCATTCCGGCACTAAGAGACACAAATGTGACCAGTGTTCATATAGCACGGATCACTCTGGCAACATGAAGAATCACCAGCGAACACACACGGGCGAGAAACCATTCCAATGCCCTGTGTGTGGGAAGGCATTTTCACAGCCATCAGCTCTTCACAATCACCAGAAAACACACACGGGAGAGAAGCCCTTCCAGTGCACTGTGTGTGGGAAGGCATTTGCACGCTTATCACATCTTCACAGACACCAGAGTACACGCACGGATGAGAAGCGCTTCGAGTGCACTGTGTGTGGGAAGGCATTTACACGATCAGGAGATCTTCGCAGACACGAGAAAACACACACAGGCAAGAAGTTATTGAAGTGCACTGTGGATGGGGAGGCATTTACACAGTCATACATTCACAATCACCAGAAAATGTACACGGGTGAGAAGCCATTCAAGTGCACTCTGTGTGGGAAGACATATACACGGTCAACACTTCTACGCAATCACCAGAGAACACACACAGGAGTGAAACCTTTCAAGTGCACCAAGTGTGGGAAGACATTTACAATGTCAGGAAATCTTCACAGGCACCAGAAAACACACACAGGTGAGAAGCCATTTAAGTGCACTGTGTGTGGGGAGGCATTTACAAGGTCATCACATGTTCGCAATCACCGTAGAATACACACAGGTGAAAAGCCCTTTAAGTGCACTGTGTGTGGGAAAGCATTTGCATGGTCATCGGTCCGAAACAAGCATCAGAAGATCCACAAAGAGAGGAAGGTGAAATCGAAATGTAAAAGTCAAGGTTGTGCAATGACCTCATCTTTTGTGAAAAACGAGAAGAAATTACCAGCTTCATAACCTGGCCAGGCATGGAGGTGAAATGTGAAGATGATTTGACTGTTGTGAAAAAAGAGCCAGAAGAACATTCCAGCTTCTCAACCTGGCCAGGGGTGGAGGTCAAATGTGAAGATGATTCGACTCGTGTGAAAAAAGAGCCAGAAAAAAATTCCAACTTCACAACCTGGCCAGAAGTGGAGGTAAAATGTGAAGATGATTCGGCTCTTGTGAAAAAAGAAACAGAAAATTCAAGCCTCACAACCTGGCAAGGAGTGGAGGTGAAATATGAAGAAGTTTAGACTCCCAAGACCTGACCTCCAGTTTCATGCAGGCAGTGTGAAGCAGGATAATAATGTGGACTCTGAGGAAGAGTGAGATGACCCCCTGCAGTTACTGGTTGTGGAGGTGTGTGGGTGGAAAATCATGGATGATGCAGAATAGGAGCAGCCAGCATTGTGGACCCTGGGATGTGGGTAAATATGTAACCAGGAGACCAAGTTGAAGAAGTTACACTGTTCACGGTATTCATATACTTATTTAATAGCACAATAATTACTTTTATTGCCACAACACAATTGGGGTTTTCAGAAAATGAAGCCTGACAGAAACTCGAGGAATAGTCGTTGACACAAGGAACATTCCTCATGCGACCCTCAACAGCCGGGCACATTTTGATTTAAAGCTTTCGTGACTGCAGTAATTCATATTCTTAGTTTTTTCGGTAAAGTCACGTTGAAGAGAAACAACAAAATAATAAAATATATATAAAACAATAAAAAATTCTCACGACGTTTCGACCATAACTCAAACGGTCATCTTCAGGTGTGTTGGTTTGCATAAATTTATTTTAAACGGCGCATTTATTTATTACGAAAGCCAATGGAAAATGTAATATAACCCAGATTTATGCCTCATCTCCAAACACAAGAATGGACAACCACTAACTGCTTTGCGATCAATTTTAGCCAATTTTATAAAGAGCCAACACAGACCAGTGGTCACACATTGGATTACTGATACCAGTCATAACCTCAAAATCATGCCCACCTAACTTTTGGAAGGTCAACTGGCCTGGCTACAAAAAAATATAACCAAAGTGCAATTGAACAACCTGGAGCCAGATCCTGAAAACTTTGAAGTTCAGCAATTCTTTTTTATATCTGCTGCAAAAAAAACACCCGAAGAGGGTTTCGGAAAAGCTACACACCATGTTCGTAGCCAAAATAGAACATCTCTTGAGAGAGTTCAACAACTTGTGACCAAAATAAGCACACCACACTACTGGAGTCCTTAAATTGTGTGCAAAGAAAACGTTGGGAAGGGCGTCACTACAGATTTTGACATAATTCAATCCAGCCGTAAAGCCTGGCAGCTCCTTCGTAGGAACCTAGGTACCTAAAACGAACAGCACAGATAGCAAAAAATAACAGCGAATGCTGCTTTCTAAGATGCTGTCCTGCTCAAAAACTGTTTTGAGGAAGTTGTCCTCCCGCATCTCCCAATTATCTCGGCTGGCTACTTAATGGTTCGAAAGAAGTTCAACATACAATGTAATGTATAACTTGTAATACTGCATATGGCCACCATGGGCAGTACGTAGCCATGTACAGGGTGCTTCAAAATGTTTGTTAGCACTTGTATGGGACTATCGTTTTTAATGGGAAAATAACGGATAATACACTAACATGATAACAAATGTATGTTAATAGCTTCAAAGAGTCTCCACTTGTTCGCCATCATTGTCAACATGCCTGAAATATTGTCCAGGTGGTGTCCAGAATCCGGAGGGACATTCTTGTGGTATTGTTGCAAATTCTCGGAAGTGTTAACATTTTTAGAAGCACCCTGTATTTTACTAAAAATGCGTAACGTAAAAAAGACTAGTGAATCATAACGGCTGCATGTGGCAGGAAACCTGAGTTCCCAGTGAAAACCCCTGTTTATGAGAGGTGCCACTCCACGATAACCGTTTAACTTTTAATTTGAATCCCTGTAATGGAAATTATATACGCATGTGTGTTAAAATGCATCATTAATGTTTTTGTTTATACATGTTTCCATGATATGAAAAACAAAAGTAATGTGTTCAACAAGTCATCCAGGAGCAACGCAATTCACTCCGACAGCAAATGTACATTTATTACATTCATTGTTGTCAAGTGTTGATGTTTATTTCCTTAATTAAATTGTGTTGGAGAGTGTTATGGAAACAATATAATGAGGTTCAAAGTGATGTTTAATGATGGTACAATTGGTGAGCTGTGTTGGGGGTGCTGGAGAGAAGAGCCTCAAGAATCTGGCCCGACTCGTTTCTGGACCAGTTTTTGCATGAGCCAAGAAGCCAGAGGGTTGAAATGGAATTATCTGGATGTGGCTGTGGACCGGAGACAACCCCCACTGGCACCTTCCAGTATGAAAGGGGCTGGCTGTTAGAATAGCACCAACAAAAGAAGCAGCAGCACCAACAAAAGAAGCAACAGCACCAGCAGCAGTGAGTTGAGTGAGCAAGGCAGCTGTGAGTACAGTCAGAACTACAGTTACTTGTTTCACTATGCAGTATGGAGTAATGCACACATGGAAGGTGGCAGTGGGGCTTCTCACTTTTCCCTGTTGTGTAGCACTTTGGGGTCGGTGCAAAGACCCAAGAACTGGTGTGGGGATCAGAAGGGAGAACGCACGAATCAAGATTCAGCCTTACTGTAGGCCTCTCAGACTGACACCTAAAACTTTGGTGCTGTTTTCCCGGTCCCATGAACTTAATATGCGGTGTGACTCTGCAGGGGTATCCGCGGACTGTCGACAGTGTGTGTGGACAGTGGAGTTGGTTTTGGTCCTATGTATGAAATGGTAAAACGGCATAACGACCACCACTACTGAGACGGTGTGTGTGTGTCAGGATTGCGTAGGGTCATAGGCTTGAGTAGTTTTCGAGGTTGAGCCGTGTTTCTGTTGAATTGTGGGTGTGTGGCCCTGTTGGGGGCCTGCACACATCTCCCCCTACTGTCTAACCTGGCATAAGCAAAGAAGTAAAATTGAGTCAGCCCTTGAAAGCCTGGTCCGTGGGTTTCCCTGGAATTTTGTGAGGCCGACCAGCCTGCACCATAGTTCACCATGGTGAAGATAATTGTGTGGTAACGCCAGAGTTGGTTACCCGTCACAGAGATTGAGTATTAATGTATCCGTGGGTGTAGTGTTTGCTTAGATATGGTTGGCTATGTTGCCCGGGCTGGATGAAGGGACGGACCGGCATTGTTGGAGGGGAGGTAGACAGTCTAAATAGACTGACCCTCACAGTGATGCAATTTCTATACAGCTGCACAACACTCAGTCACTGTAGACTAATACCTAGTCGCAGGCCAGCTAAGTTCGGCCATGGCTCAACTCAATAAATGAACTAACCAACATGGGTGATAAATTAACTAACCAACATGGGTGATAAATTAACTAACAAACATGAGCACCTGCTAAATTATTTAACCAACTTGGACGCCCACTAATTGCACTAAACAACATGGACGCGAGTTACATAACCTAACCAACATAGACATAGTTATCAGTAGATATGGAGTGTTGTGGATTCAGGAGACGGTTCTTGGAGGCAACACTTAATACACCTCGCTCGGCAGTACAGTCAAAGTACACTCAGGGTTACTGTCCTCCTACACCTACTGTCTGGGGAGGTACTGCCTCCGGGCTAACGTGCCCTAACACAGGACTACACTCAGGGTCCTCCGGCTATGGGTGCCTAGGGGGAGGCTATTCTAACTCGCCCTAGCCAGGGTGCGAGTTCCAACCACTTACCCACTGGACCAGGCCCTTACAAGGACGTCAGGCCAGGGGATCCCAGGGTCTCAACACTGAGCCGCACAGAGTCCGGGCCCTGATAAGGACAGCGGGGCTAGGGGTCTCAGAGTCCTATCTAGCTGGTCTTCGGCTTCGGTCTTCAACTGGTCCAGATCGGTCGGGGAGGTCCCCTTGTATGCCCCTTGCCCATTGAGGGGTGGGGCTGCTTGGGATACCAGAACCCCCGCAGCCCCCACGCCTCGTTGGGGGCGCCGAGGGGCTTAGCTGTCTGGGGATCCTGAGCCCCCAGCAGCCCCTCCCCTCTTGGGCTGGCACTGCAGCCCCTCCCCTGATGGTAGAAGGTAACATTCCATCTATGGCGCTACACATAGTACTCTACAGGCTCGCTTGAACCAACACTGCTTTGGCGTTTAAGGGTTGGTGTTGAAGGGTTGGCGTTTAAGGGCTGGTGTTTCAGGGTTGGGGTTTTATGGGTTGTTGTTTAAGGGTTGGTGATTAAGGGTTGGTGTTGAAGGGTTCGTGTTTAAGGGTTTGTGTTTCGTAGATTGGTGTTTAAAGGTTGGCGTTTTATGGGTTGTTTAAGGTTTGGTGTTTAAGTATTGGCGTTTAAGGGTTGGTCTTTAAGGGTTGGTGTTTAAGGGTTGGCGATTAAGGGTTGGCTTTAAGCGTTTCTTTTTAAGGATCGGTGGTGAAGGGTTGGCGTATAAGTGTTGGCGTTTAAGGGTTGGTGGTGAAGGGTTGGCGTATAAGGTTTGGTATTTAAGGGTTGGTATTTAAGGGTTGGTGTTTAAGGATTGGCGTTCAGGGTTGGTGTTAGTGTTTAATGGTTGGTGTTTCAGGGTTGTTTAAGAGTTTGTGTTTAAGGGTTGGCGTTTAAGGTTTGGTGTTTAAGAATTGGCGTTTAAGGGTTGGCTTTCAAGGGTTTGGGTTTAAGGGTTGGTGTTTAAGGGTTGGCATTCAACGGTTGGTGTTTAAGGGTTGGTGTCGAAGGGTTGGCGTTCAAGGTTTGGACTTTAAGGGTTGGTGTTTAAGGGTTGGCGCTTGAGGGTTGGTGTTTAAGGATTGGTTTTGAAAGGTTGGCGTATAAGTGTTGGTCTTTAGGGTTGGGCGTTTAAATGTTGGTGTTTAAGGGTTGGTGTTTAAGAGTTGATGTTTCAGGGTTGGCGTTTAAGGGTTGGTGTTTAAGGGTTGGCGTTTAAGGGTCGTCGTTTTATGGGGTGGCGTTTTATGGGTTGTTGATTAAGGGTTTGGGTTTAAGGGTTGGTGCTAAAGGGTTGGTGTTCAACAGTTGGTGTTTAAGGGTTGGCGTTTAAGGTTTGGTCTTCAAAGGTTGGTTTTAAAGGGTTGGCATTTATGGGTTGGTGTTTAAGGGTTGGTGTTTAAGGGTTAGTGTTTAAGGGTTGGCGTTTCAGGTTTGGCGTTCAAGGGTTGGTGTTTAAGAGTTTCCGTTTAAGGCTTGGTGTTTAAGGGTTGACGTTCAACGTTTGGTGTTTCAGGGTTGGCGTTTAAGGGTTGGCATTTAAGGTGTGGCGTTTAAAGGTTGGTGTTTAAGGCTTGGCGTTTCAGGGTTGGTGTTGAAGAGTTAGTGTTTAAGGGTTGGCGTTTCATGGGTTGTTTAAGGGTTGGTGATTAAGAGTTGGCGTTTCAGGGTTGGTGTTTAAGGATTGGTATTGAAGGGTTGGCGTATCAGTGTTGGCGTTTAAGGGATGGTGTTTAAGGGTTGGCGTTTTATGAGTTGTCGTTTTCTGGGTTGTTTAAGGTTTGGTGTTTAAGGATTGGCGTGTAAGGGTCGGCGTTCAAGGGTTTGGTGTTTAAGAACTGGTGGTTAAGGGTTGGCGTTCAAGGGTTCGGATTTAAAGGTTGGTGTTTAATGGTTGGCGTTCAAGGTTTGGTCTTTTAAGGGTTGGCGTTTAAGGTTTGGTGTTTAAGAATTGGCGTTCAAGGGTTTGGGTTTAAGGGTTGGTGTTTAAGGGTTGGCGTTCAATGGTTGGTGTTTAAGGGTTGGTGTCGAAGGGTTGGCATTCAAGGTTTGGTCTTTAAGGGTTGGTGTTTAAGGGTTGGCGTTTAAGGGTTGGTGTTTAAGGATTGGTGTTGAAAGGTTGGTGTATAAGTGTTGGTGTTTAGGGTTGGGCGATTAAGGGTTGGCGTTTCAGGGTTGGCGTTTCAGGGTTGGTGTTTTAGAGTTGATGTTTCAGGGTTGGCGTTTAAGGGTTGGTGTGTAAGGGTAAGGGTTGGCGATTAATGGTTGGTGTTTAAGGGTTGGCGTTTAAGGGTTGGCGTTTTATGGGTTGTTGTTGTTTTAAGGGTTGGTGATTAAGGATTGGTGTTTAAGGGTTGGTGTTGAAGGGTTGGTGTTTAAGGGTTGGCGTTTCATTGGTTGGTATTTAAGGGTTGGCGTTTAAGGGTTGGCGTTTAAGGGTTGGCGTTTAATGGTTGGCGTTCAAGGGTTTGGGTTTAAGGGTTGGTGCTAAAGGGTTGGCGTTCAACAGTTGGTGTTAAAGGGTTGGTGTTTAAGGATTGGTCTTCAAGGGTTGGTGTTTAAGGGTTGGCGTTTAAGATTTGGTCTTCAAAGGTTGGTGTTTAAGGGTTGGTGTTTAGGGTTAGGCGTTTAAGGGTTGGTGTTTAAAGGTTAGTGTTTAAGGATTGGCGTGTAAGGGTCGGCGTTCAAGGGTTTGGTGTTTAAGAATTGGCGGTTAAGGGTTGGCGTTCAAGGGTTCGGATTTAAAGGTTGGTGTTTAATGGTTGGCGTTCAAGGTTTGGTCTTTAAGGGTTGGTGTTTAAGGGTTGGCGTTTAAGGTTTGGTGTTTAAGAATTGGCGTTCAAGGGTTTGGGTTTAAGGGTTGGTGTGTAAGGGTTGGCGTTCAATGGTTGGTGTTTAAGGGTTGGTGTCGAAGGGTTGGCGTTCAAGGTTTGGTCTTTAAGGGTTGGTGTTTAAGGGTTGGCGTTTAAGGGTTGGTGTTTAAGGATTGGTGTTGAAAGGTTGGCGTATAAGTGTTGGTGTTTAGGGTTGGGCGATTAAGGGTTGGTGTTTAAGGGTTGGCGTTTCAGGGTTGGTGTTTAAGAGTTGATGTTTCAGGGTTGGCGTTTAAGGGTTGGTGTGTAAGGGTTGGCGATTAATGGTTGGTGTTTAAGGGTTGGCGTTTAAGGGTTGTCGTTTTATGGGTTGGCGTTTTATGGGTTGTTGTTTAAGGGTTGGTGATTAAGGATTGGTGTTTAAGGGTTGGTGTTGAAGGGTTGGTGTTTAAGAGTTGGCGTTTCATGGGTTGGTATTTAAGGGTTGGCGTTTAAGTGTTGGCGTTCAAGGGTTTGGGTTTAAGGGTTGGTGCTAAAGGGTTGGCGTTCAACAGTTGGTGTTAAAGGGTTGGCGTTTAAGGGTTGGTGTTTAAGGATTGGTCTTCAAGGGTTGGTGTTTAAGGGTTGGCGTTTAAGGTTTGGTCTTCAAAGGTTGGTGTTAAAGGGTTGGCGTTTAAGGGTTGGTGTTTAAGGGTTAGTGTTT